CCGCCGTAAGCTTTGAAAACACCCAGCTCTGAGGCCCAGCGAAGCGTTCTTTCACAATGCATGATGGAATTACTGGATGAGTGCGCGCGCGCGCGCGCGCACACACACACACACACACACACAGCCACTGAACACCTCACTTTTTCAAAGTTCATGGCATTTGCTGGGAAATCTTTAGGAAACAACCGCACATTCATTTTTCCGGACGCATGGAGGAGACCCCTTCCCTAAGCAGAGTTCAGTTTTACATGAAGGTGGGAAGTAAGGAGGTTTTTATAAATGGCCTTAAATTGCACGTATTAAACAATGATAATGCAGCAGCTCTTTGCATTACAGAGCAGCTCCAACTTCTTTTTTTGTTTGTTTTTAAACTGGTTGTTCTTTTTAAATGTCTCTTGTGTGCATAGAACACCCTATATATAGGCTACATGTTGAGCGGTGGCCCGTGGGTTTATTGGAAATAGACGAAAGGGGGCAGCTGGGTCTCAGTCCCCATTGCTCCCTGCTGGCAGCGGATAGGGGGCGCTGCGGGGGCGGCCGAGACTGCGGTGCCAGGCGGAGACAGCGCAGAGTATGGTGCCATCTGGGTCCACGAGGACGCGCCTGGGAAGGCGCGCAGGCTCTGAGCTCCACTCCAATACCGTCTTCTTCCCTTTTGCAGCTTCCCACTTCCCATCTGTGCCCACCCACTGGTTTCTCAAAGAATAATAAAAATATTTGGCACACGGTTCAAGGAAAAAGACTCAGGAATCTGTGGGTTCCTCTATCCTAGGTTCATACAGTGTTGGAGACACATGGCCACCGTGGCCTCGCTGGCTTCTCGCACCCACTTTCGAAGCTGCGACCCAGCTTGACCAACCCGGGATGTGCATTTTGCTGCACGGTGGATATAGCAGTGCTAGCTGTACTTTACAAGTTGCCAGGAAAACGTTTTATTTTTCCTTTCATCTTTGCCAGTGCTGCCTGCAGGCTCCAAAAGAGGCATCTTCAGAAAGCTGATAATTAAAGCTATGGTATACGGGCAGGAGTAATCATTACCTATTTTGCTTGGGTGCAGTCCTTCAGAGAAAATGATGTCCTTGCCAATAATTATTAGGTATCACATTGTCATATTACTCCTCCAGGAGCCTCAATTTGAGGATAAACGTTAGGCCAAACTTTGCTGTTCAAACCTCTGATTTAAATAAATGTATTATTCCAGAAAAAAAATAAATAAACAAACCAAAACTCTAAGCAGCAGTTATTTCTGAATAGAATACAACTATGACTGTTTTAAGGATAGTTTAAAAAATTAATATTTAGTAAAATGGTTTTATCCATTAATAAACACTTTGAAGCAGCCAGGAATTCAGATTCTCAAAGCTCATCTTGTGGAATGATGTCTGTACTCTGCCACCTTACTAGAACGCTCCTACATTTTTCATAGTGATAACTTTGTATTGACTGATGAGAGAGTCTTTATTGTCTATAGATAGATTACTGCAAAGTCAACTTCCTCAAAGCATATAGCCCTAAACAATAGGTACCGGCAGACATGATGTTTTGCTGGTGGGCTCTGGAAGGAGAGGGAGGGTTCGTGGACAAGCAATTGGAATTTGTATCTGGACTGACAGGCAAGTCTCTTTATTTTGGCCTTTTTCTCAGTGAGGAGAGAGAGAGAGAAATGCTCAGAACAAGCAAGTTCAACAGGTCATCTTCAGGTAAAAGGTCCCCAAGGGTGTTTTCTCCAAGGGTTGTGTTCCTGGACAGGCCCTAGTGGAAGCTGCTCAGCTTCCTTTTCCTAGTTTGGGGCCTCTGAGATGTTAGCTCCTGTGTGAAAAGACTCTTCATTACAGATATAAGAAATTACATGGTGAGAAGGTGCTTCCTACGTGAATAGATGAAAAGCTTTTGGTAACAATGCAAATGAATAATTTAATATTTCATTGGCCTCAAAAATGTGTGTTTTAATACCGATATCTTTGACACCCCGCACTCCCTCTCCATACACACCCATTCCCACTTGATGAAGGGACATTTCCTTAGCTCTTCTTGAATTTTCTTAAGCAACAATTATTTGTTCTGGGTCCATATTTTATAAGGTCAGAACCCCATTTTTCCAAAAGCGCCCCCAGATTATTTGTTTGTACTCAGCAAGTGAAAAAATTGTTTAAAATTATATGTAAGAAAATCTTCCCATCTGAAAATTTGAAGCCGTAGAAGTTGGATTTTGCAAGTTTGTTTTGGGTGAGCAGCAAGCATATTTCCCTGGGTTGGTTCAGCAACAACATTTCTGTCCCGTCATCTAGTGAGGGATGAATGGCATATTGTGGTTTCAAAAACGGAGACTACAGATGCTACACCCAAATTTGCTCAGTTTGAGAAGCTCACAAGTAGGCTTGCCTTTGATTTTTTTTTCCTTCCCCTGAGTTTCTCTTTTGGCCAAAGAGAAATTGCTTCTGTGCCATTCAAAATACTTGAATTTATCTGCAACCCAGAAGAGAGGAGTAGCTAGTGCAGGCTCTTGTCAGCAATCAACATGTGGGATAAGGTGGGGTGGAAGGAGCCGGAAGATCACAAAAGGTTCTCTGCTTCCACCCCCGGGGGAAAGGAGTTGATGTTGATCCACATTAAGAAGCTCACAGGGAAACTGACAATGGATTTCCGACATGCCTTGAGCTTCTCAGATAATAAGCTTATCCAGGAGAGGTATTCTTTGATCAGTCTTCTTTTAATGACTAACAATCAAAACTCACATAAAATTCAGCTTGTGCCTTCTGTGTAAGGTATAATGTCATAGATTTATAAGGTTCTCTGAAGGAGATTGGCAGAGAGAGATAGCATTTGGGAAAGTATAGAAAGATAACAAATTAATAGTAAGAATGTCTCTTAGAGGTGATGAAAAAATTTGTGAGGAAATTTATTCATCTTAATTGCTCTAGAAAGACCATGAAAAATAGAAATGGCCTAAAATAAAGCAACCAACCAAGAACAGGTAGGACAAGTAGTTGGCAGTCATGGTCCAGGCACTAAATTAGTTGCTGGGAAAACCTCAAGGAACATAGAATACAGGGTTCTTGTCCTCTGGGAGCTTCTAATCTAGCAAAGGAGTTTATCATGTATAGCTTAAATAATTGAAATGTAGAGAAAGCATTACTCTGGACAGAACCAAAATACAACTTAAGTTTTCTCCTATCGTTTTTGTTAAATTTAATCGGTGTGATGAATATCCTTGACTCCTGGAGAAAAACTCTGGCAGTTCCCCTGGCTCTTCTGATCATTCTCAGGTGATACAGAAAGTCCCCTGATCAATTTGAGTAACAGGACATTCTCATTTCAGCATTTAAAATGTCTGGTTCCCTGCAATAGTCAAAAAGTGACCTTGACTTAGTGACACCGCATTAGGTCTCCTTCTCTGGCCTGACTGCCTACGGCCAGGCTTACAGTCTTTCCACTCTCTCACTTCTGATCCTCTCCCTTTCATTGCCCCCTGCATGTTTGTAGGGTACTGTGTATGTGTTGGGGGAGTACAGGAAAGAGAGGTAACCTGGCCTGCTGACATCCTGTTTTCTACCCTGACAGAGAGTTGAGCTAACTGTCTTGATGGACTTTCTACAGCGCCGAGTCTCTGAAAGTTCCCAAAGCAAGTCTCCTTCTCCTTATTCTTGGAGTTCATTTGATTCCCAGGTGGATGCATCTTTCTTCCTTTGGGTCTTCCTGACTGCCTTCTCAGTCCTGGCTACCCTTGGGTCTCAATCGGGTCCCTTGCTTCCCAGGTCTCCTCCTCCCCGTAGGAAGCCCTTTGGACAGAATTTCTCCTGCTGTCCCCAGGGACACATATCTGGTCCTGGGACCCCTCATTCATCCCCTCACCCTCATCAAGCAGGTGCAGCTCTTGCTGCCAGAATCGTGCGGCACTATGCTCCAGCTCGGCCCCCGAAGCTGTTTGTCAGACTTTCTGCGACAGACCCCGTGCACAGTCAGCTTAGGCCAACCTTCTGGGGCCGGCTCGCATCTCCCAACCACAGGGCACTTATTTCGCTCTTCCACCCTGACTCCTGGTTGGGACGTAGCACCCTCCGGCCCCGCAAAAGGCAGTGGGGGCTGCGGTATGTTGTGGAGGAGGTCTCTTTCTGGCCTCCTCTTCATACTCTGTCTAAGCTTTTTCTCTATTCTTAAGGCAGGCCGGGGGGAAGAGGGGGAGGCACCCAGAACCACAGAACAAGTCCCTGGGCGGCCTTCTCCGCACATCAGTGGGCACCGGGGGTGGAGGGTAAGATTCACACTGAGATTGCGTAGTGGAGCCTCAGATGGGCGGAGAGAGTTCTGTGCTAAAATCCCTTATACTTCCGTTCAGGGCACTGTAATAACATTCCGCATGAATTATTCCACTTACTCTTCAAACTTAATGAAATAGGTACAACCAAACCAGAAAATGACCAGAAAATAAAAAGAAACTGACCTCCAAGTGGTTTAAATAACTTGCCCAAGGGTAGAACTCAGTAATGAGGTCAGGCCTCAAACCCAGGCCTGCGGATCGGATTGGGTATTTACACCCTAAGGGTTAAGAGGTTTGTTTGTTTGTTTGTTTTGCCAAGGTATATACACATTTTATTTTAAAAAGTTTACAGTTTTCATTATACACAACTATTAAGAGGTTATAGTCAGAGGAGGCATTTGTCCTGTTGACAGAAGTGCCCACTAGATCATCACAATGCAAGGAAAAAGGTGGAAGGGAGATAGGGCGAGGAAAAAATAAGTGATAAAAAGCTTAGATTTCAATGAAGGGCTGGGGAAGAGAACAGTATCCTGACAGAAATTTAGGGCAACCAAGCCAAGAAATGGGGTGAGAAAGGAAAAGACCCCTGCCTGCGCCACTTTCTCTTACTCCCACAGTCTGTGCTGCCTGCGCCCACTGCTTACAACGGTCCCTTGTCGGCAGCGGGGGCAGTGCCACTCGGCGCCGGCCCCGCGGCAGCCCTGGGCCACTGGAGATGTGACCGTGGCTCGGGACATGAGCCCGCTTGTTCGCTCACTCTCAGTGAAAAGAGTTTTGAAATGAGTTCTGAATAGACAGCATTTTCTTTGTGCGGTTGGTAAATAACACAGAGCAAAGTTAGCAAGTTGCAGCGCTTCTGCATTCTGATTCTATGGAACCTTTTTGTAGGGAGAAGGGCAGGATGTTTTTAACAGAATGTGACCTCACTGGAATACTAGAGGTAAGGAGAAAACGATTATTGAGATAACTGAATACTTTACATTTGGAAAATATGACTTTTAATAAAACTACATGAAGAGAAAAGATTTCTACATACTACACAAAAACCAATGCCTCATAGAATTTTGAAAGGTGCTTTTCACGTTGGTTTGGTATTTGTTTAGATTTGGTTAAAAATCAATGATTTTCTTATGATAATTTTCATGTGAACAATTTTTTTCCTCCTCTAGAAAGTAATAAAATTTCTGAATGGGGCGGTGTGGAGAAATCCTAAGAGAAATAGCATAAGAGCATTTTGGAATATATCCCGGAAAAGATAACTGTCTACACATCTGTAGAGATTCACCAGGTAAAGGTAAGAAAAATATATTGTAAAAAGAAGAATCAAGTTATTTCATTATGTCACACTAGTTTGAACTTTGGGACAAAAGCAGCTACCACTGAAGCAGGATGGAGGAGGGGGAGTTAGGAGGGTCCACCTTTTGCCCCTCCCTCTTTCAGGCCTAGGCATGGCATGGTAACCCTGGGTCCCCTGTGACAATTGGTGGTCACCAGGAACTGTTTCTCATGCCAGCTGGAGAGCCGTAGAGAACATGTGCATGTTGTAGAGGGGAACTGACAGATTATGACATTCACGAGGCACTTCTGCTAAAAAGTCAATGTGTTGCAAATGTTATGTGTACAGTATGGAATTTCTTTTAGGTTTACATTTGCACTGGGACTGACTCATTTTCTATTTAGAATTCTTAAAAAATCACTTTCACGGTGCTCAGATGAGAAGTACATCTGTTGCTTACATATAATAAGCATCAAACATGAAGACATATTAAATGCTGGAGCCGTTTGTTTGTCGCTATAGGAGACCTGTAACATATGCATGCTGTATGTCTCTTTACTGGAACATGGCATTGAAGAATACAACTTTATGGTTCTTCTCTTGAGCAATAAGATTTTTTTTTTTAAATCTCCAGCTAATTTAGGTTTCTGAAATGAACATTACTTAGAACTCTCGAATGGGTACTTTGAATAAAGTTCAGAGAGACAAAGATTGCATTAGTCACTATGTGGCGTTTGGGATTCTGAATGAGTTTCTAAGCAAACATAGCTAACATTTTTATTTGTTGGTAGGTTATATACACATGACATAAGCACTATAACAAGATCATCTTTCCAGCAGGCATGGAAATCAAGATGTTGGTTCCCAGGACTGTGTCAGTTTTGTGTCTCATGATTGTGGGTGAAATAAAGCAATAATATCCAACTCTAGTAGAAGTTGTGTGAGAGCAGAAGCAGGCTTTCCGATGGGGAAGAGCTTCTGATTTTCAAACAATTGGTGGGATACATTTGTTGCATATAACTTAGAGCTTTGATCTTTCTATTTGAGGTGCATTATTGTCAAATTAACTTAAATGGTCCCTTTACATCACCTTGGATTGAGTGATTCTCCTACAAGCCATGTTCACCCAGTTGACATAAAAATTATGACCTTCCTAATAAAATCATCCTAGATTAAATAAATTAAAAATTATATATTGCTTTCCTTATGGACTTTAAAACCAATCTTTTAAGATAACATAGTGTCTTTATTTTGTGGTAGTTTATTATTCACTGGTAAAAGCTATTATCTACAATATAAAATAAAAATAATAAATCCAATGATTCTGAACTTTAAAAAAAAGTTTTACTTTATTTTTTTAAGCATTTAATTAAAATACAGCTGTGTACATCATCCCATAAGAAACAGAGCCCCTTGAGCAACATTATTTATGATGGTAGCGATATGGGCAAGTGGAAGTCACCGCAATACAGGATTGTTTCCTGAAATCATTTACAAGAGATCACCAGCAGAGGGCAGCGCAGAGCAGTGAACTCGGGAATTTCCAATAGACGTCTACAAAATTAAGTGAAAACATCTGCATGAATGTAGTACTTTTTGGACAGCATCCTCCATTGATAACATAGATCTTTAAAATACTTTTCAAAGAGTCCACACACGTTAATCTCTAAATAGGCCTCTTACCACAAAAAAGTGTTGAGGTGTGAGGACAAAACTTGATTTCCTTGTGGTCATCATAGGTGTTTGCACTTTCATTTCCTTTTTGATTTATTTTATTCCAAAAGATTATGTGAAGATAAGTACCAGTGATGTGCACTAATTTTCATTATAAAGTTTTTCAGGGTGATTTTTCTTTTGAAAAATATTGAAGAAATCGTAAACTCAGATTCATAGAATAAACCCTTACCAAACTCAGCATTTGAAACAAAATAGAGCTTAGAAAGTTTTCTGTTAAATACACATTTCTTGATACAAAAAAAAAAAAATATATTGTCCTACTTTTTTTTTTTCTTAGAATTACTAAAGAGAACATTTTGTGTTCTATAAAAAACACATGTAATACTCAATATATGACATACACTTTACACTGGAAATCTGGGGGGAAAAAGACATACTAGATAGAACAGAATCTCAAAGAAGTAAGAGAAACAATTTTCTGAAAACGTTATATTTTGTTTCAGGGTTATTATAAAAACTCTAGTTTAATGATCTATGTGTAAATGTTTAGAGAATCTAAATGTCTTTAATCTGAATATTCTCCTGTAATCTGAAAGTTAACATTTAAGATTATCATTTTTATAGGCTAATTAGGATTATAAAACACTTTTCTCTTTTCAAAAGTTCATGAGCACGTAACAAATTGAAACTACTTTTACAAGCCAAGTGTCCCTCTTGTGCCATTAGCTTTCTTGGATTTACCTTCTAAATGACTTTGGCTCATATTGACTTGAGATATTTGACATATAAAGTATTGTTGTCTTCAAAGGTTTCCCAGGCAACTGCAATGATTCATCTGGTGCCAGTCAAAAGTGCCCTTGAACTCTCAGCTCACTTCACTTCCCAGTATGAGTAATATGTTTAGCAAAAAGAAAAACACCAAAGACTTCATGTAATAGGCTAATGCGAATGGGTTGGTGAAGAGGTAGATGTATTTCACAAAAGTATTTACTTGGATGTTAAAACTTCACCTGGCTGCCTGCAGGTTTGCTTTGTCAAGCTCTCATTTTCATCTGCAGGCAGGGACACAATCTATACCCTGTGTTCTAGGTACTGTTTCATTCTTCACAGTTCCCAGGCAGCTTCCTAAGAGCAGTGCCCTAAACTCTTACCCTAAGTGACTGCAAGAACTCCTTAAAGTATAGATTGCTGGCCCACCAGGGAGAGACCACCTCTGAATCCTTGACTGGTGCCTCGGGATTCCGGATGACTCACACACTGACCATTGAGAGTCATTGTCTTAGACTTAATTCTTTGTTAACCTATCATAGAGAAATTTGTTTCACTATGCTTATTTCCACACCCAAATAGTTCCTGAAGAGCAGAGAAGGGAGAAATTGAAATCACTGATCTTGTAATCTGTAAAAGGTCCCTCTGTTTAACATAGATTGCATTCTGTGTTTTGCTTAAAATAAGCAGACAGTGCAGTTAGAATGTCTCCGCCCCCCACCCCCCCACCTTTCACCTTGGCTTTTGTTCTTACAACTGACTGAATAGTGACTGGATTGATTGACAAATAAGGCAATATAATATAGAGTCTGCAAATCCCACTAGTGGAATTCTTTAAATGGGAGCAGATTGCTCTCTAAGTGTGGGGCTTCTGCAGAAGTTTCCCTATCATCTCCACACTGAAATCAAAGTCTAGAGAGCTTCAATAATTAATCATCTGCCATTTACATCCAGCCATAAAATCAGAGCTTACCACCCCTCCCCCAACACTTAACCATTCTCCTTGTATTTGTTATATTTTGTTCTGTTTGATATACTCACGGGGACATGAATATTCCATCAAAGTGTGTCTAAGTAAGCAGATTTTTAAAAATCTATTTTTATGGGTCTATAAGAAATTTTAGTAAGGATATACATATAACTATGAAAGCATATATATATATGAAACATCTATCTGTCTATTATCTGTCTATCTATCTATCTATCTATCTATCTATCTATCTATCTATCTATCATCTATCTATATTTATCTATCATCTATCATCTCTAGTTGCTTTAGCTACCAGCCCTTCTAGCTACAATAACCATTGTGATTATCACATTTTATAATCCTTGGCTTGTTAAAATTAATGTAGATAAATGTAATTTTATAGTAAGAAATGTAGTTTTCAGAGTGTGAAATAATAGTAATCAATTTGAATAAATATTTACTATTTGTTTTCATAAAAGTTTAAATCCTCAAAAAAGAACTCTGACCAAAATAGGAATATAGCAGGATCAATGAAACAGGTGGCATGAGTCATATCACTGGTTTTTAATTAAAAAGGCTGCTGTGGATGTTGGCGTGGACTGGGCTGCACACAGGCACTTTTAGAATTTCTTCAGCTGAAATCCAGCTGGAGAGTTCTTCATCTCGTTTTGCTGATTTATAATTGATCTGTGCATTGACGATGTATTTTGATATCTAAATCACAGTTTAAAGAATCCAAAGAGGTATATGAATCCTCAGACAGGGACAGTTATTCCTGAGCCGAAGGATTTTTGTGCAAAGCTAATATGTATAATAGAGAATCAGTCTTTCACTGTACAGCTTTGTTATCATATTTCAATAACTGAATGAATATTCTGAATTAATAAGCATAACGTTTGTATAAGCTAAAGACTAGTCTAAGCTCTGCATTCATTGATGGGAACCTTAAGTAAATGTTTCTTTTCATCAGCTTGCTCAAAAGGCATAAACATAATTATGATTCTGAGACAATAACATATCAACTGGTTAAAGAGTAACTGGGTCTGGAAAATGTAACTAAAAGTTAGGGGTTGCATGTTATTTTGAGTACTTGGAAGATCCTGAAGAAACTTCTTTAAAAAAAATATATATATATATTTATATATTTTAGAGAAAAGAGTCTAAGTATTAAAACATATCAGTAGGATTTTTGACTTTTGTTTTTAACCAATGCTTTGGTTAAACAAAACATAAGTTGATATTCATAACTTGATAGAAAATGTAAGAAAGTGGTAGAAATATTAAAGGATTAGTTTTAAAGTTCTTAAAATGCTAAGAGAGACAGTAAGGGAGAAAATGAGCTTTGCTTGCCATTTTCCCCCACAACTCTGTTTGGTATCTTCTGCTACGTTTAGTTCGCAAAAACATGATGAATTTTCTGGATCACGACTTGTTTCATCTTCCCTTTCTCCCTCCTTCTGCATCCCTCACATTACCTGCTCTTTATCTCTTAAATGTTAGGATGTTATAAACCCAGAGAAAGAATGCTAGGCAAATTTGCACTTCTGATCATTCTTTCAAAAAATATCGGAACACTTTTATGTGTCGGGCATTGGTTTCAACT